TGGCCTAGAATTGTCAAACGTTGTCAGTTGAGGCATCTTGGGTTTTCGGAGAATGTCGACCAAAAAGTAGGTCACAATGACCTACTTTTGATTATCTCAGGTACTTATTGGCTTAGAATCATGAAACATTGTCAGTTGATGCATCTTGGGCCCTCTGAAAATGTTGACCAAAAAGCATGGTGACCTACTTTTGACATTTTATGGTTATATTTAAGTATCTTAGGTACTTTTTGGCTTAGAATTATCAAAACTTTGTCATTTGATGCAACTTGGTTTTTCGGAGAATGTTGACCAAAAAGTAGGTCACCGTGACCTACCGTAGTTTAGACATTTTATGGTTATATCTTAGGTACTATTTGGCTTAGAATTATCAAACGTAAGTTGAGGCATCTTGGGTTTTTGGAGAATGTTGACCAAAAAGTAGGTCACAGTGACCTACTTTTAATTATCTCAGATACTTATTGGCTTAGAATCATCAAACATTGTCAGTTGATGCATCTTGGGTCCTCGGAAAATGTCGACCAAAAAGTAAGTCACGGTGACCTATTTTTTTTTACATTTTATGGCTTTATCTAAGTATCTCTGGTACTTATTGGCTTAGAATCATCAAACTCTGATAGTTGATGCATCTTTGGTCCTCGGAGAATGTCAACCATAAGAAGGTCACAGTGACCTACTGTATAGCAGGTTAAAATCGCGGTCGGAAAAGATCGCGATTTGTTCAATTTTCAGCAAATCGCGGTCGTTTGAATTCGCGGAAAAGGAAAAACCATAAATTTCTTAAACAGTACTTGCAAGCGTTTTTCTGTAGGTATATATTGTGTGAAGTGTTATTTCCCGTCTCTATAGAATTACGAAAGTCTGTAATGTATATGAGCTGTATATCGCGCATATCAGACAGAAAAGTAAAGTCTATATATTGTGTCGATTTTGATCCCGATTGAATAATAACGAAACACCGGACTGATCCCGATTTGAAGTCAAATAATGCTACGCATTTATTTTTTGTTTATTTCCGGGTCGAAATCAGAAAAAAAAAATTATACCGTAGTAAAATTGTTGAACTTTTAATCGTATAATTGAAATTAATTAATTGTCGTTACCCTGTTTACTAAATAAATGCCTTGATTAAAGGTAATGACTGAGTTATACGCATGGGTGAAATTAAACAAACATGTTTTATTAAATAATTACATCGCACTTCTACGAGATGGCAAAATTAATCGTAAGCTATAGAAATGAATTAAACAATTAATAAGCTTTTAAAACAGCAACAACTACGTGTTTGTAATTGATCCAGACACTCGCATAATTATAAAGACAGTCTACATCTAATCACAGAAAATAATAAAATTTCAATTTATCTTTATAAAACTTTTTAAGAATTATTCACTGTATGTTGAATTCGCGGAATTTCTTTTTCCGCGAATATAGCGAAAATTAACACCGCGGGTTAATTTTCTGCTGTACAGTACTTTAATATTTGAGGTACTTATTGGCTTAGAACCATCAATCTTTGTCAATTAATGCATCTTGAGTCCTCAGAAAGTTTCAAATCAAAAAGTAGGTCACAATGTCCTACTTATGGTATTTTATAGCTATACTGAAATATCTTCAGTCCTAACTGGCAAAGAATCATTAAACTTTGTCAGTTCATGCATCTTAGGATACTTAGAGTAAGAGGCTTCAAATAGAAGTGATAGATTGTACAGTTATCAGAAGAGCGATTCAAGGCCCTTGGGCCTCTTGTTAAAAAATCTTCTTCTCAAGAACTGATGGGCCAGGAAAGATGAAACTCTTGTGGAATCATCCACAGGTAGTGTAGATTCAAATTTGTTCAAATCATGACCCCTGGGGGTAGGGTAGGACCGAAATGGCCGATCAAAGTTTTACAATGGAGTATAAAATAAAAATCTTTAAAAATCTTCTTCTCAAGAACCACTGGGCCTGGAAAGATGAAACTCATGTGGAACTATCCTCAGGTAGTGTATATTCAAGTTTGTTCAAATCATGACCCCTGGGGGTAGGGTGGGGCCAAAATGGCAGATCAAAGTTTTACATAGGAATATATAGGAAAAATCTTTAAAAATCTTCTTCTCAAGAACCATTTAGACAGAAAAAGATAAAACTCGTGTGAAATCATCCTTAGATAGTGTAGATTCAAATTTGTTCAAATCATGACCCCAGGGGCAAGGGTGGGGCCATAATGGCCGTTAAAAGTTTTACATAGGAACATATAGGAAAAATCTTTAAAAATCTTCTTCTCAAGAACCACTGGGCCAGGAAAGATGAAACTAATGTGGAATCATCCTCAGGTAGTGTAGATTCAAATTTGTTCAAATCATGACCTCTGGGGGTAGGGTGGGGCAAAAAGGGTGTTGCTAAAACGCGGAACAGAAAACGTTCGAACGGAAAGCGAAACGGAACGGAAAACGGATTGTATTATTTTGAATTAAATCACTTAAAATACACAGATTTTATCATAAATGATCTATTTTGTACATATTCAATCCACCACTATTAAAAACAAGTTGATTTTGTCATACTCAGTCTCTTATTTACGAAAATCGCTAACATAGCAGTCACCTAGAATCGAATTTGAAAAGGGGGGATAAACGAACTTGAAAAGAATTTGACAAGCAAAAACACAAAAAGAAGACAATTGTTTGCTTCGGGAGGGGGGGGGGATAAAACTAAAAAAAACAACAACAATTGTTTGGGTCGGGTAGGGGATAAATTCCAACTCCAACATCTTTCAGTACAATTTTTTTTACAATAACTTTAATACTATCAGGGACCTATATACTAACTTATTATACATATAGGTCCCTGATACTACATTAGTTACATTCACAAAAAGTGTGAAGATGTCAACTTGACCAAACATTTCCGTAGTAAATAGGTTTTGACTGGGGGGGGGGGGATATTTGATATCTAGATGAACCATGAAAAGAGAAATAAAATGTAAAAATAAAATTATTAAGATTACGTTTAGGGCAAACCTTTACAGCAAGCTCGAATAAACATCTCTTATACACACTGGTTGTTAAAATTTTATTCAAAAGAGAGTCGCTTTCTATATATTTAAATTCTGGATAGACAAAGTTGGAAAACTTTCATGTGATAGATATAATACAGAATCTTTGCATTCAATGAAGTTAAATTTTGTGTGTATGTTTGGGAGGGGGTGTATATGAATGACCCCGTAAAAATGAGCTTGTTCTGACCGCTCAAAAGGTCTGAGAAGTTGTAATAGGATTCTCCCTTTTTGTGTCCAACATATATAAAAGGTTTAATAGATCAATTTTTAATGTTGCTGTGTACTACACAGACCCGAAACTGCCACTCCCCCTTTCATGATTCGCGAATTCGACACTGCGTGTATAATCAGTACTTTCTACAGACATTGACACTGGAAACAAATTGAAAGGGGGGGGTCAGTAAAAAAATTCCAACATACAACAAATTTGACAAGCCAAAATAAGGGGCATGTGTCCTTTGCCCAAACACGAAAATCCTATTTCGTGTATGTGTGTGTGTGTGTGGGGGGGGGGGGGGTCGAATTTCTTTCAGTACCATTTTTTCCACGGAGGGTGTGTATGTCTCATGAATATATAATAGTTTACAATTAATTTTTTATCAGAAATGATTTTTACAACAAGAATATTGCTCTTTTATGTGATTTATATCTAATCTATTTTATTTGTTTGACAAAAATTTTCCGTTTTCCGTTCCGTTCCGCTTTCCGTTCCGTTTTCCGTTCCGCGTTTTAGCAACACCCGGGCCAAAATGGCCGACCAAAGTTTTATATAGGAATTGAATAGGGAAACCTTATAAAATCTTTTTTTCAAGTACTTCAAAGCCATGATTAGTGATATTTATATGGAATCATCCTCAGGTAGATTCTAGTTTGTTCAAATCATGACCCCCTGGGGGTTTAAAATTCAAGCCCCCCCCCCCCACCTCAGTAAACTTTCAGTTCTGATCTGACAAGTGCTTTTTCCTTGCCGATGTTCTCAGGTGAGCACTGTGGCCCCTGGGCCTCTTGTTACATTTTCATCTTCTTCTCCAGAACTACTGAGCCAATTCAACTGAACTTGGCACAGAGTATCCTAGGGTAAATGGGATTTAAGTTTCTTCAAATAAAGGGCCACGCACTCCTCTAAGGGGAGATAATTACCAAATAGCAAAAATTTCATGACATCATTGAAAAATCTTACTCTTGAGAACCAATGAGCCAGGAAAGATGAAACTCATGTGGAATCAGTGTCAGGTAGTGAAGATTCAAATTTTTGTTCAAAACATAACCCCAATGTGTAGGGTGGAGCCACAATGGACGATCAAAGTTTACATAGGAATACTGTAAACCAACTTTTATTTGCGACAACTTTATTTTGCGATTTACAGGGGGTTAAACTAGTTTGTGATGATCAATTTTCGCAATAAAGAGCCTATTTAGGTTATGTTGTTAATAAACACAAAGACTTTAAAACCTGTTCCCAGTGAGTAAAATTCGCGATGACGAGACTCTCGCGAACCACGAAAAATTATCGCATGTGAATTGAAGTTGATTTACAGTATATTTGGAAAATCTTCCGAACAGCAATGCTATGATGTGTCATATTTATGTGAAAGTATTCTCAGGTAGTGTAGATTCAAGTTAGTTCAAATCATGACCCCAGGAGTAGGGTGGGGCTGCAATGGATGATCCATGGTGGTCCCTCTTCAGTGCTTGTAATGTCGGTCTTCAGTGCTTGTATTGCTGGTCTTCAGTACCTCCATCTTTATATCCTTCCCTCTGTGCATTCATCAAACTTGACATTCAGCTCTTTTTCAAAGAAACTGTCCTAGAACGCACAAGATAGTACAAGATTGGTATAATATTAGTGAGATTTAATCAATTGTCACATCATTTTTCCAACATTTATCTTAACTTTATCATAACTTTGTCCATACTGTTCATGTTTAATAAAAATTCAAACATCAATATATATCTGTGAGAGCTTTTCAAGTCTGTGACCTTGCTAATATTTCCTATATTTTATACATGTCTAGTCAATCTGATGTATTCTGATGACACTTCAAAAAGTAAAAACCTCTAAGAAGTAAAGATTAGTTTGAAAGTGTTCAACAAATGACACATGATCATTGACAATTTTAGATAATTATTTAATGGCCACTTGCACACATTTAGAACTAGGGTAATATACTGAGCTGATTTCACCTGTGTTTAATGTGTTTTAATCATTTTCTTTAGAGCCAACATAACATGATCAATACTACATCTGGTTGGTTGGCTGTTAATGGAACGTTCCATGACATCATGGCACTGAGAGATTTACCAAACAGCCTGCTATATCCTACCCCTCAAATGGCCCGACTACGATCTGGTATATACTTACTACTTTATATGTCTCCTAATGATAATATATATAAAATATATGGTTACTGTCTTGAAATATAAGCAATATTTGGGCAAGGGTAAGAAAACGTGATAGAGGACAAGGCTTGCCGAGCCCTCTAACGTTTTTGACCCGAGCCAAAATATCACTTATATTTTAAGACTGTTATCATGTATTTTGTTTATCCTGCAACATATTCTTTACATTTTAACGTCCAAAACTAGTTATTTTTGACAGATTTAGGCACATCTCTGCAGTTGAAACTATGACGCCATGGCATAAACATTGCAATATACATGACGTCACAATGCTTTTAGAACGTCGGAACACATGCACGAGGCTTTATTAGGGCAGTGTCCAGATAAACCTTTGGTTTATTAGGTTATCTTTATTAGGTCAATGCAAGGGGTAGGTGCAGGATAAAAAATAAAATATATACAAAGCAGTGTGATATATACAGTACAGGCAACGCGGATCCCGTATTAGACCGCGTCCCCTCCGCGGTGTATTGATCCTTTCCGCGTTGCACCGTCGTGGGTTTTGATCGCGGTGCTACCTGAAACCGTGTTTACACCGCGGCGGGGCCAGCTACCGTTATTCCTCAGCTTAGATGTTCTTACCTGTAAAGTCTTGTCGATTTTTAATCGTGTCAAAAGGGGGGGGATGAAGATTATGACCACATTAATATTATAGATATATACCATTACATGGATTCTTCAAAAATTCATTTTTAAATTTTATCAAATTGTTTAATAAAAAACATCTTTTTTTTTTTACCAATAGTCACTCAAAATTAATTAATTCTCAAACACGTCTGTTAATGGTTATACATGTATAGGATAAAATAAAGTCGAATAATTTATCGAATATATTTATTTTTAAAATCAATAATGCCACCTTAAATGATCTTCAAATTGCTTAAAAGGTATAATTAAAATTTAAAGAATGCCATGACATCGCTTCTTTTTATATGCACTGTAATCCGGTGTTCACAATTAGCCCGTGCAGTTGCAGTTACATGTAGGTATGTGTTTATTTATCTGCGAGATTCTATCACAGTCATTTGGTTTCATTTAAAAAAAAAACCTTTACTACTGTGTACATGTCTGTTATAAATAATAGCATGAAAAACGATGATTAGATAGTGATATATAATTACAATTAAAATTAAACAAAACACGCGTAAGTGTAGGAATACCGGTATGTTACTCCATTATTATGCACTACACTGTAAGACTATGAACTAAATATTGACATGATTTTTTGGGGGGGGGGGGGGGATTGTTAATAAAATAATCACAAGTCATTCTATTCAGAATATCAATAATTTCATAGCTAGTATTTGACTGTAGTTCTATTTTCTGCTCTTTTCAAAAATTACTAAAATCATGTCTATGAGAATGAACAAATTTCAGGTATGAGATGCAATGTCACCGGTTCATGTAAAACACAAACACAAATATGGGTCCTTAAATAATTTGAACACACAACACAGAAATTAATTTATTTTAATCAGCAAGTTGCCATGCTTCAAGTTTTCAGGTGTCTGTATAACCGGTCGGTTTTCCTCAGGTAAGTTTGGTGTGGAGTGGAGCTTACTCGAAGCGGCTGAGAAGCCCCGAGGGAACGACGATACCTATATACACAGGATGTTACCTGAGTGTATTACCTGTATGCGTTTTCCTACGACATTGTAAAACGAAGCCATATTTCTTTATGTGTAGCTCATAAATTGAAATGCGTGAAATAAAGCATGTTTTTGTTGCAGACAGAATCCTTTTAAAATTCTTTCTTTTAAATAAATATTTTCAATAATTAGACAATTTTAAATATACTGTGTTTTTCTTAATCTAATGTTTTAACAAAAATACATTTTATTTTACCACCAAAATTTGTCTTTGTAATCTGGCGACAAAAAAGGAGGTCATTCAAATTACAGGTCATGTATGCAAAACGAAAGAAGAAAGTGGATCATAAATAAGTCTCTCGGTAAATAACAATTAAACTTAGACAAAAACCACAGATGGTCAATAAACTGATAAATCAGCGGCCGCAAGATCTACATGTATCTGTATGGAATTTAACAAAATCTGATCCGCAAGCAATTTCATTAAAATAATATTATGTTTAATTTAGTTTTATTCGATAGACTTTAGAAATCAATATACTGATCAAAACGAGGAAAAACGATCATGCACGTGCCTTAATATTGTGATATTTTTCTTCTCTCTCTCTCTTTCTCTCTCTCAATCTACTAACTGGTACAGGTTTTTTAGCTCACCTGAGCCGAAGGCTCAAGTGAGCTTTTCTGATCACATTTTGTCCGTCGTCCGTCCGTCCGTCTGTCTGTCTGTCTGTCTAGCTGTCTGTCCGTCCGTCCGTCTGTCTGTCCGTCTGTAAACTTTTCACATTTTCGACTTCTTCTCAAGAACTACTGGGCCAATTTTGACCAAACTTGGTACAAAGCATCCTTGGATGAAGGGGAGTTTAAATTGTTTAAACAAAGGGCCAAGTCCCCTCACAAGGGGAGATAATCAAGAAAAGACAAAAATAGGGTGGGGTCATTAAAAAATCTTCTTCTCAAGAACCACTGGGCCAGAAAAGCTGAAACTTAAATGGAAACATCCTGGTATAGTGTAGATTCTAAATTGTTCAAATCATGACCCCCGGGGGAAGGGCGGGGCCACAATGGGGAATCAAAGTTTTACATAGAAATATATAGGAAAAATCTTTGAAAATCTTTTTCTCAAGAACCACTGGGCCAGAAAAGCTGAAACTTATGTGGAAGCATTCTGGAATAGTGTAGATTCTAAATTGTTCAAATCATGACCCCCGGGGGAAGGGCGGGGCCACAATGGGGAATCAAAGTTTTACATAGAAATATATAGGAAAAATCTTTGAAAATCTTCTTCTCAAGAACCACTGGGCCAGAAAAGCTGAAACTTATATGGAAGCATCCTGGTACAATGTAGATTCTAAATTGTTGAAATCATGATACCTGGGGGAAGGGTGGGGCAAAATGGGGAATCAAAGTTTTACATAGAAATATATAGGAAAAATTTTTGAAAATCTTCTTCTCAACAACCACTGGGCCAGAAAAGCTGAAACTTATATGGAAGCATCCTGGTATAGTGTAGATTCTAAATCGTTCAAATCATGACCCCCGCGGGAAGGGCGGGGCCACAATGGGGAATCAAAGTTTTACATAGAAATATATAGGAATAATCTTTGAAAATCTTTTTCTGAAGAACCACTGGGCCAGAAAAGCTAAATCTTACGTGGAAGCATCCTGGGGTAGTGTAGATTCTAAATTGTTCAAATCATGACCTCCGGGGGAAGGGCAGGGCCACAATGGGGAATCAAAATTTTACATAGAAATATATAGGAAAAATCTTTGAAAATCTTCTTCTTAAGAACCACTGGGCCAGAAAAGCTGAAACTTATGTGCATATGGAAGGATTCTTGGGTAGTGTAGATTTCAAAATGTCTAAATTATGATCAGTAGGGTAGGGTGGGGATGCATTATGTATTACAAGGAGGAAATCTGGTAAAAAACAGAATGGTCAAAGCTTCTCAGGTGAGCGATGTGGCCCATGGGCCTCTTGTTTACTTTTATTCTCTTTATATACTCCGTTTAAAAAAAGCAACAATATATTGACACAAATTTCAAGGCTATTATCGCATTTGAAAATGATATCGATGAAATAATAATGAAACATTGAATCAAATGTTGTGTTAAATGGCTAGACAACGATGTGCAGCGAGCGTTACCCAAGGTACTCTAAGATAGGTGTGATACCCCCAGGGCATGCCGTTTCCTGCTCTGGCACTGCTAATCCCTATACACAGGAAATGATCGTGGCTAATACTTAATACACAAAGAAACAGAATTTGTCAAAGAAAACAAGAAGGTATTTGATTTTTTATGAATATTTATTAACCCCCTTTAATTTAATTTCTTCTGTGAAGGTTATCATCATACCTGCACATCCTATCTTATCTATTGAACATGAAAATCGAGAAATATTAAAATTAAAAGGAAAGACATTGTTTAAAGTAATACATGTTAATATGAAGGTGAAGAAGCGATATTTTTTCTTGATCTCTTATATAAAATTCACGTGCCCAAAGTTAACTCTCGCCATCGAATGCTTTTCAGTTATTTGACACTTTGAGAAAAATGCCTGCACATTTATATAAAAGAGGGATATAAATTAAAGAAAAGTTTTCTAAATTTGGGAACAGAACATAAACCATGAGAAATAAAGAAGAAAAGATTATTAGCTCAACTCAAGTGAGCTTTTCTGATCACATTTTGTCCGTCGTCTGTCTGTCCGTCCATCTGTCTGTCTAGCTGTCCGTCTGTCTGTCCGTCTGTAAACTTTTCACATTTTCGACTTCTTCTCAAGAACCACTGGGCCAATTTTGACCAAACTTGGTACAAAGCATCCTTGGGTAAAGGGGAATTTAAATTGTTAAAATGAAGGGACATATCCCCTCGCAAGGGGAGATAATCAAGAAAAGACAAAAATACAGAACCACTGGGCCAGTAAAGCTGAAACTTATGTGGAAGCATCCTGGGGTAGTGTAGATTCTAAATTTTTCAAATCATGACCCCCGGGGGAAGGGCGGGGCCACAATGGGGAATCAAAGTTTTATATAAAAATATATAGGAAAAATCTTTGAAAATCTTCTTCTCAAGAACCACTGGGCCAGTAAAGCTGAAACTTATGTGGAAGCATCCTGGGGTAGTGTAGATTCTAAATTGTTCAAATCATGACCCCCGGGGGAAGGGCGGGGCCACAATGGGGAATCAAAGTTTTATATAGAAATATATAGGACAAATCTTTGAAAATCTTCTTCTCAAGAACCACTGGGCCAGAAAAGCTGAAACTTATGTGGAAGCATCCTGGTATAGTGTAGATTCTAAATTGTTCACATCATGACCCCCAGGGAGAAGGGCGGGGCCACAATGGGGAATCAAAGTTTTACTTAGAAATATATAGGAAAAATCTTTGAAAATCTTCTTCTCAAGAACCACTGGGCCAGTAAAGCTGAAACTTATGTGGAAGCATCCTGGGGTAGTGTAGATTCTAAATTGTTCAAATCAAGACCCCCGGGGGAAGGGCGGGGCCACAATGGGGAATCAAAGTTTTACATAGAAATATATATGAAAAATCTTTGAAAATCTTCTTCTCAAGAACTACTGGGCCAGAAAAGCTGAAACTTATGTGGAAGCATCCTGGTATAATGTAGATTCTAAATTGTTCAAATAATGACCCCCAGGGGAAGGGCGGGGCCACAATGGGGAATCAAAGTTTTATATAGAAATATATAGGACAAATCTTTGAAAATCTTCTTCTCAAGAACCACTGGGCCAGAAAAAGTGAAGCTTATGTGGAAGCATTCTGGGGTAGTGTAAATTCTAAATTGTAGGAATCATGACCCCCGGGGGAAGGGCGGGCCATTATAGGGAATCAAAGTTTTACATAGAAATATATAGGAAAAATCTTTGAAAATCTTCTTCTCAGGAACCACTGGGCCAAAAAAGCTGAAACATATGTGCCCATGGAAGGATCATGGGGTAGTGTAGATTTCAAAATGTCTAAATTATGATCAGTGGGGTAGGTTGGGGATGCATTATTTATAACAAGGGGGAAATCTGGTAAAGAACAGAATGGTCAAAGCTTCTCAGGTGAGCGATGTGGCCCATGGGCCTCTTGTTTTTTTCTTGATGTCTTGGATAACGAAAATTTAAGTTCACGTGCCAACTGACAGGTAACTGTAAACTCTCGCCATCGAACGTTTTCCTTTAATTTGACACTTGAAGAAAAATGCCTGCACATTTAATATATACAAAAAAGTGAAATTAGTTAAATTAAGGGTTCTTAATTTAAGAAAAGAATATAAACAATATGAAGATGTACATTTTTTCAAAGATGTACATTTTTTTTTCAAATGAATGCTGAAAATCGTTTATCGAAACTCAAACAGTCCGAGTTCAGCATTCATTACAGTTCACATATAATATGAAGATTTAAAACAAAAAAAAACAACAAACAAACAAAAAAAAAAAATAATAAAAAAAAATAATAAAATAAACTAATTTAAATTTCTAGTATTTAATCTTATTTCTTGATAGACTCTTAATAACACAAAATAATTAACCAACTGCAATGACATAACTATTCAATAAAATTTTCTATTCAATTTCAAAGATTGATAATTTTATGTAATTTTAGAAACAAAAATAAACCTATTTTTTCTTAGTTTAAATTCTATTAATTGCAAAATAAATGAAAATACTTTTATTGATAAACACACAGTGTCATTCTTTTTTTTCTTTTTTTTTGGTTACAGGAAAAATTCGCAAATTACAATTCGGGGAGATAACTCCCGCTTGTTTACGATACTAATTGCCAGTAATTGATCGATGATTTAACCGCGGCGGGGACAGGTAGGTGATGAATTTCCCGCGGAGGGAACGCAGTTTACCTGTATCACCTGGCCAAATACCGCGTTGTGATTATACCGCGACGGGGCGCGGGAAATACGGGATCCGCGTTGCCTGTACTGTAGGTTGTAACTTAAACTTTTACAGGTGTTCTTCTTACCGAGATTGTGTCCAATATGAAAGCCAAAATAAATAAATCAATGGACACAGATTTAGTTCTTTATTCTGCTGTGAGTATAATTTTAGTTAAAACTTTACTTGTATAAGTAACACAGAATAATTTAACACAAAGTTTTATTGATCATTGGAGGTGAGGTTTTATACTTTAATAAGGGTACAAGCTGATTACCATTTATGGTTAAAAATTCAATTTATTGTCATTATTTGTTCATTTTTTTTTTACCTGTGAATTCTTAGAAACAAGTACCACTAAAGAAATAAAATAAGCCCAGAAGAAAATCTCACAAAAAGCTGGGTACACTTTATGCATAAAATGGCCCTCTATTTAAATTAATTAACTATCACCCTCTTTCCCATTTCATATATCAAAATAAAGTAGACACTTGGTGCTTCCATTTCCTGTAATAAAATTTCTTTTTGAGAATCCAGATATTGGAAAACAGGCTTTGAGAAATTGCAATGTTCTTGAAATTTGCAGAAAACATAGGTATTTGACTACTTTCAGCAAAGAATTAAAATCTGAGCACAGCCCATGATCCAAAAAATAAACATGTTTTTTGATCTTCAGAAACAGCTAGATCTTTCATTGTGTATTTGCATATTTTGGATCAGAGGTTGTGCTCTGTATGAAAAATTGAAAAAAATTCTTCAACTTTAGGCCATTTTCAAAGAAATTTACAGGATATGAGGAAAATGATGCATTTTATGACATCATAATGCATTGACTAGAGGGAAAATTATGTCATAATTAATAGATACGTGGTCACCAACACTCCAAGTGATAAATACCGTATAAACGGAAATTTTAGCGAGACACAAATTTAGCGATTTGTTGATAAAAACTGGTATTTTATTTTTAGCGAGATGTAATGTTAGTGATTTAGAATAGCTCACTTAATAAGCTTTTATAAATAAAAGGCAAATAATTTTTAGCAATATTCAATTTTAGCGATGT